TTCCAGGGAATTCTGGTTATGATTTGCTCAAATTTTATGACTCTCTAAAAAAACTAAGTAGAAACTTGCTATGGCTAAACAGTTGGAACTTAAATCCTTCTCTGTCCCAAGAGCTTTAATCGCTGAGGAGATAATGCACTTCCCCTGGAGACCAACTAACATATTTGTTCAAAATCCAGGGCTACAGTTTCATCTTTTTCTTACATGTTTAACATAAGGTACTGTGAAACCAGTATCATGAATACTGTGAATCATGGTAAACAGCATAAGTTAATATTAAGCTGTGCTATTCAAGGAACAGAAGACATTTATAGAAGACAAAAATAATTTCTCATTCTTTTCCTTGCCAGTTCACAAAGGATCAAAGTAGCGTCATTTCTGGGGAAGAGTCTAACAATCTTTTTTTGTTCTCTGTTTACAAAGCATTTAGTTCTGCATCGTCTCAGAGAGATATAAAAGGCTTTAGTAACACATCCACAATGACAGCTATAAACAGTGCCACATTCTGAAAAATCAACCATACGTTCATGTTATTAATTTCTATTGACACTGGCTAACACATACTTCACACTGTTTGGCGAGGTGTGTGTGGGGGTGGTGGTGGTGGAGTTCATAAAATGTTCTTTGTATTTTCTCTAAAATAAAGTGTTTATTGTATAGATGTTTAATGGAATTACTCTGTTGAGCCTTAACAACACTGGGCTCTTCGACATTCCATCACAAATTTTCAACATTTCTTGTGAGCCTCCAAAAAACATCTACAATTGCTCTATAAAAAGATGCTGATCCAGAGCCGTCTGAGGTCAATCAGCAAAACTCACATGGATGCTCAAAATATATCAACTAAAAGAATGGCTTGTTAAATATGAATATTTAAGGAATTAACTCTTCTTTAAATCCAATTCACAGAGGACTGTATCACTAACAATGTAGTTCTATGAGTAGGTAAAATTAACAATTTGCTGGCAATCCTCACACCAGAAATGGCCTCTCCCTTCCTCATTGTAAATCCACTACTAAGGCCCACTCAGTTTTCATGGTCCCTCATGCTAGCATCAAAGGCACGAATCCAGATCAGAGAAATAATAGGTGTAAAGACTAAACCAGCAAGAAGACAGAGTTTAGTCTGAACCCATACTCTCTCTCAAAGACGAACCTGTGGCAGTATGTTCAAAGGAGTGATAGAAGGGAAGAAAGCAGCAGCCAGGGTGATTTTTGGAAGATACAACATCCCCACGCCAGCTTATGCTGCTTGCGGATGGAGTAATAAAAGTGAGCCTGACAAACACAATAAATTCAACTGACCGATACAGCAAAGAACCTTCAAAAAGACCCTTTGATTGATGATCCAGTTAGAACCACTCAGGGTGCAACTCCATCAGACCTCAAGCTGGCATGTGTGAGATGACAGGAATCTGTAACAAGAACTGGAAGGGGAAGTGGACTGTCTCTTTTGGAAGCAGCCCACAACTACAGTGGAAACAGCACTTCAGAGTTGGACTTTTCAGTCTAGGTCTCCACGTATGGGTTGTGTGGGCACTGCTACATTAGTTCAGATTAAAAATAACTGGAAAAAAAAAGTTTAAAAAGCAACTAAATCAGCAAGTGTCTTTAACAGAATTTATTATTCTATATATTATTTTGTTTAAGTAATGTTACAACAAACAATCCACAACCTCCTCCCACAAACTGTGCTTCCACTAAGAACTTCTGTCACATAGTGGCATAACATATGGAGACTCAGACATGGAGTCCATTATCCTTCCTAATTATTTATCTTATTACACTTCCAATGCTTGAACAAATTAAATATTCAGTAACCCTAAATTTCCCAAGTTTTCCCCAAAAGACAGAGGTGGAACTGCAGTAACAGACTCTGATGAATTTGCTGACTAAATGAAAACAGACATCATGCTTCCGAGTACTTTATTTTACTGTTTACACCCAGATGAACATCTCTTAATCTCTGTACACTTTATCTGAAACAAACAGGTTGCATCTCTTCAAATCCATTACATAGGCAATTTAAGCACCTATTGGTTTTGGATTCCATGTGAAAGATCAAACACCCAGAAGCCAAAGAATGCATTACCCTAGTCTTATTCACTTAAATCTATTAGCCCATATGCCTAATCTCAATACCTTCTATAATCAAAAATTCCTTGTCTTCCAATACCAGAGATTGCTGGAACCAAATTCAAGAAGAGTTTAAAAATTTCCTGAATAATTCTAGAGAATTTTCTGGATATTCTACATAAGCAATAAAAAATGTTAAATATTTAACATCAATATATTTTAATTATATTCTGTCTCATAAATTTTTATGTTATTAATATAAAATGTCTTAATTTAATTGCAAAGATCAGAAAGCCTGTTAATACCTGCTGTTGATGTGTAAATTGGTAAGAACAGCTAAGTTTAGGATTCTGAAAGTTTTGGCAGGCCCACACTGACATCAGTTAAGCTTATGTCCGTGTGTATCTAGCAAGAACATTCTTTGTGTTGAATTAACCATTTTAATTTACAATTAAAAAGCTTCTGCTTTCAGGAATGTTCAAGAAGTTAAAAACGAACCTCATCACTTTCTACTTACTTCTTCTGCAGCAAACTTCAAGACAGCTGTGAAAGGTGTACTTTCAGGCACACTTAACCTGAAATTACAATGTAAATAAATATGTGACTGCTAAGACAAACTGAAAAGCAACTTTATTTGCTATCAAACTACTAATTAAAACTTCACTTTTGCCAGTGGTTAAGATGCTCGCCAAAGGTGTGCATGTTCTTTTTAAGGTCTAGAGCAAAGCCTAAAAAGACATCCATGGCAGCAGCGCCAAGCATAAAAGCCCTAACCAGAGTTAACAACAGAAAACCGCCTGTCGCCTCACACGGAGGGAAAGATGCCTTTTCCACTCCTGGGAAAGCCCCGTCAGGATGACCATTAAAGGCCACGCGGCTCAGGAGCGCGTACGTCTGCGCTGCCGCCGCCGGTTTTCACGGCCTCCTCGCGTCACGCAGCGGCACCGCAGCGCGCCCCGACCCCCCACAGCACTCACACTTTGTAGGGGAGCCGGGGGTCCGACGTGAGCGTCACTTTAAAGGTGACCTTCGACCTGGGGAGAGCGAGGAGAAAGCATGGGGTTAGGGCTGGGGGAGGGAGAGGGGTGCAGCGGGGCCGCTCACTCATTCACTCACATGATGCTCCCCAAAGCCGCGGCCGCTCCTCACCGACACGTCAACCACCACCCGGCGCCCGAGGGGTCTTCGCTGCCCCTTCCGTCTCCTGAGCTGCCCGCGGTGTGCCTGATCTCAAATGAAAGATAAACACTCCCTACCGACCGCTACGGGGGAGGGAGCGGGAGTTTCTGCCTCGGGACCCGACTGGCGCGGGGAGAAGGGAGGCTGAAGGGTGGGTAAAGTGCACTGGAGAAAGGCGGTGAGGATTTGTGATGAGGCAGTGGCTTTGGATGTTCCGCGGCCGAGGTAGGACCCAGGTACCGGGACTTCCGCGTTTCCGTGGGAGTTGTGGATTGACGTCCGGGCGGGCTCGGAGGGGACGGGCCGTGGCGGGCTATGTGCTCTGTGCCGGGACCGGACGCTTGGCGGGCGGCGTGGCCCGGGCCGGGCACGGCGGAGGGGTTTGGCGGGTGGCCTCCTGTGCACCTCGCACCGGGCCGGCGGGGTCGGAGGTGCGGGGCCGTTAAACAAAGATGAGCCCCTCTTCTGAGCAGCTGCCAACAAGGGATTGGTGGATTTAAACGTGCGCTTGTATATAGCTGCAGGGGTGTGTGTGTATGTATATGCAAGCGTATATGTGTAATGCGGGGGAGTGGGGATGGTTCATCGCTGGGTTTGGTTATCTGAGGTTTCGAGTCCGTGTGTTGCTCTCAAACCGACACTTTCCGCGGGTGTTAGTTGAAGTTATGCAGGGGAAGGCAGATGGAAATGCACACCGATTCCCACTCCCTTAATAATCAGAATCGTTCACATCTTCCTTGTGATGGGGGAGCTAGAGTTGGAGTTTGGATAGTGGTGGATACTTTTATGGCACAAAACCAAAAACCAGCAGTTCCCAGTTTTGTTGGTGAACTTTGACAAGCTAATTTATTTTAAAGGCTGAATAAGGTTACATGCAAATGCAAAGTAACTTTTGTCTTTAGTGCTTGTTCATCTGTTGATACAGACGATGAGCAAGTTTCCAAATCTGGGCATGACAGTATTAACACTGTAAAAATACTTTGCTGTAGTGCTTTCGTATTTTCTCTAGCTAATACTATCTGCAGGAAGGACAGCTTTCGCTGTAGACTGAGGTGCTTGTTGTCACAGACTGTTAGCTAGACTTGGTCATGGCAAAGCACTTTTAATTGGGATTTCATTAGGGTTAAGATAGAGGAAACGCCATAGAAAAGGCAATTAACACATTGGAGTTACTGATTTCTTACCTAAGGACTGGCTCAGTGCCTAGTCATGAAATGCAGCTTTTTACCCTTATGTTGCTGTATTTGAATATAGAAAAAAACAAAAAAAAAGTTCAAAAAATAACAAGAAGAAATTCACTAGCAGCTTGTACAATGGCATTACTATTTCCTTATATCTCCTGCATTTATGTTATTATGTCTGCCTTTTACAACTGTATAACATTGGTGGCTTATGCTCATTTTGTAATCCATTAGGGATCTCATGGCTTTTTCATCCCCCTGCTTCTAAGAGAGCACATTTTAAGTTAGAAATAATTAATAGCCATCTCTGAGCATGTAACCTTGTGTTTTGTGTAACTAAATGTCATCCCATATTCTTACCTTCTTCAAAGTCAGTTATTTTTGCATGATGTCTTTGATTTATACAACTCTCTGTCATCTGTGGCTTTCATTAATGCATTGCGGTTTTCTGTGCCAAGGTCATTAATGCAGATGTGAAATAAAAGACTGATCATTTTAGAACTTAATTTCTAGCCTTTCACTCAAAGGACATCCCCTCTGAGGAAATAAGCACACCCAAATCTTCATGCTGTTAAAGCTGTAGTGCTTTCAGTAACAAAATTTACTCGGTTAAATCTGGTTTAAGCATATCAGCACAATGATGAGAACAGTCTAAATTGAGGCCTGGGTAGTCTTGTGTTCTAGCCACATGGTCTTGTCCTCTGCCAAGGCAGAGGAACCAACACTTGTGACAGATACTGTCACAGTTCAGGAAACTGATTTAGCAAAACCCAAAATTTTCCTTTTAGGTGGTTTTCATCTGGTTACTTCCTGAACCAGCAACAAGGGGCATGAGGAAGCACACCTTATTGGCAGTGATAGCACACAGCACCTTATATAAGCTTAAGATGCTGTGGAGCTGTATCTGAGCAGGCATCAAAAGAGTATCCTTATTTGATGGTAATGTCAGGGTGTGATGGGTTGGCCCTGGCTGGATGCCAGGTGCCCATGAAAGCTGCTCTATAGCTCCTCAGCTGGACAGGGGAGAGAAAATAGAATGAAAAGCTCGTGGATCAAGGTAAGGACAGGGAGAGATACTCAGCAATTACTGCCATGGGCAAAACAGACACAACTTAGCAAAAATTAATTTGTTACCAATCTAATCAGAGTAGGATAATGACAAATAAACGCAAATCTTAAAAACACCTTCCCCCCAACCCTCCCTTATTCCCAGGCTTAATTTTAATCTTGATTTTTCTACCTCCTCCCCTCCAGCAGTGCAGGTGGATGGGGAATGGGGGTTGCAGTCAGCTCATGGCACATTGTCTCTAACGCTCCTTTCTCCTCAGGGGGGCGACTCTTCACACTCTTTCCCTGCTTCAACGTGGGGTTCCTCCCACTGGAGACAGTCCTCCACGAACTTCTCCAACATGGGTCCTTCCGACAGGCTGCAGTTCTTCACACGCTGATCTAGTGTGGGTCCCTTCCACAGGGTTCAGTCCTTCAGGAACAGGCTGCTCCAGCGTGAGTCCCTCACAGGATCACAATTCCTGCCCAGCAAACCTGCTCCAGCATGGGCTCCTGTCTCCATGGGCCACAGCTCCTGCCAGGAGCCTGCTCCAGCGTGGGCTTCCCACAGGGTCACAGACTCCTTTGGGCATCCACCTGCTCCAGCGTGGGGCCCTCCCCGGGCTGCAGGTGGAGATCTGCTTCCCCGTTACCCTCCGTGGGCTGCAGGGGCACAGCTGCCTCACCATGGGCTGCCCCACGGGCTGCAGGGGAATCTCTGCTCCGGCAGCTGCAGCACCTCGTGCCACTCCTTCTTCACTGACCTTGGTGTCTGCAGACTTGTTTCACGTATTCTCACTCCTCTCTCTGACTGAAGTTGCCATTTTTCCCTCTCTTCTTAATAGATGCTACTACTGTCACTTGGCCAGCAGTGGGTCCATCTTGCATGGCATTGGCTCTGTCAGACATGGAGAAAGCCTCTATCAGCTTCTCACAGAAGCCATCCCTGTAGCCACTCTGCTGCTGAAACTATGCTACGCAAAACAAATACACAGTTAGGATCTTTGAATGTAGATTCAGGAATCCAAGTGATTCAATAAAAATAAGACCTCTGCAGTGCTGCAAATTTATCATTTTGCTATGCTGCCTAAAGCTTTTTCAAAAGCTAGTAGGGTTAATTATTTTTTTTTCCTGAGAATATACAATGAATAAAGGAGAATGTGCATGCTTTTTCAGCTGGGAGAGTTTATGGGACTTGGTGTTCCATCTGCAAACAAGCCAGAGATGGATTAGAGGTGCCTGTATTTCACTACTGGGTTTATACAGAACAACATTCTCCTTAACTGAAGAAAAATTATCTATTTCCAATGAAGTTTGCCCTCCTTTCCCCCATGAGTGAAGCCAGAGAAAAAAATGGAGTTCTTTATTCAATCTGTTTTCCCTACAGCTCTTACTTACCCACACTTAAGTATGTTGTGTGATAGCAATGCAACATAGCTTTGGCTTTCCTAGCTCTGTAGATGACAAATTGAATGATAATTTCAGCAATTAAAACAGTTGGGTTTTCTGGCAATTTGTAAATGCATTAGTACAATGGAAAGCTTTTAAGCCAGGAAAATGTAAAAAATCCCCCAAACCCCCCAAAAAACCCAACCAGAAAATAATGAAAAATGTATTCTCCAAGATGCTAAGATGTGACTGAGGTGAATTAAAATACCTCTGACAAAACTTCAGTAGAAACCTTCTAGTTGTAAATGGCAATGTAGAGATGAAAGGAGCTACTCATCTCACATGCCTGTACTGCATAGGTAGCCACCTGGCTGGACCTAGTTTAATTGTGGAGAGGCGAAATAGAGCAGTAGGAAAGGAAGTGAAATATTAACAATAAAAAAAAAAAAAAAAGGAAATTACCAAGATCAATTGATTGGTATTTAACTGCCTGAGCAAGATGATCCCTTTTCATAACAAAGGGTAAAATTCTTCTAGAAGGTGCAGCTGTTTCTTGACATAAGATGGACCATGTAAAAATACAATGGTGGTGGAGGGAGGTGTTCGTTTCTTGCGTAGTTACATCCTATATGGAGGCGTTTCCTTACTAGACACTTATAACCTGAACACAATGTCCTAATAAACATTTTCTAAGTTGCCATAATTAATTACTGTAATTATTTTACTTATATGGAACATGGGGGGGGGGAGCTCTTTGGTAGTATTTTCTACCCACTTTGTAACCACAACATAGAGTACAATGTGCTGGAGAACTGTGTTTACAGCAATGTTATTCAGCCTGTTTTTTTGGGTTTGTTTTTTTTTTTTTTTTTCCTGCTTTGTTTCCTATTCTCCCTTACTGTAGTCTCTTAGATACAATATATTAGTAAGCATTCAAGTAGAGCAGCCCCATGATACTGCTTACCAGCAACAAGTAAACATGACCACAGTTCAGAGTCTGGCCATAAACTCAAGCTGCAGTGTTTGTGTTTTGCAAATATTTCTCCTTTGCTTCTGAAGCACACAGTGTGTCTTAAAATCTTTTAACATTTTTATGTATTTCTAACATTCATGAGTGCATGTGCCATTTGAAAACCACCAATTTTTATGCTGTTAAACAAGTGCCCATGTGGAGGAAGGTTACCACATAAGCATCTGTCCTAAGAACTCCATGGAAGTATGAAATCTGAAATTTTAAGAAATGCAGTAAAATATCTCGCACCTGCAAAATGTGCTTTTAGCCCTGTCAGTTTTAGACTGAATAAGGAACATCTAACTTTCAAGAATCTTTGTTGAAAAAGCACTTTTAGCAGGTACTTAGAAAATAAAATCTTGTCATTCTGGAAACTTTTCTTTGCTTGCAAACAATGAATTACAAATGAGCCTTCCCAAGCAGTGTTATAGGATGGAGAGAAGAAGGCAAAGGAAACACAGTGTTTCTCCAACCAAACCCCTTCCCTACATAGCACATGTAACAGTCTGTTTCCTTCTGCTCTTAGTGAGGCTG